CATCAGCGTCTTTTCGTAATTTCAGTGTATTATTGAAGTCCATTAATCCCTCTAATCAGAGTTATTATCTTGTTAGCAATTATACGTAAAAACTCTTTGAATCATGACTATTAGGCAAATATGAAGCATTTTATTACAAAGAGCTACCAAAATGAATGTTGTGTTTTATGTTCTCTGAGGATGAGCCAGGAACAAATGCAGTGTGACAACACATAAGTATTAAGAGCTTAGACATGTGGCTCTTCCTTTGGTTGAAATCATATCAAATTCTGGGCTTTTTTCCTCTTTAAGGAAGAAACATTTTTTTTGTAGTGAAGTAGACAAGTCTTATACACTTACCATGTATTATACACACACACACACACATGTATGTATTTGTATGGAAGTAGGTAATCCTTATGTACTTACTATGTATTTAAAATATATATGTATGGGTGGATGAAAGTACATAATCCTATGTACTTACTGTGTACAATGCCTGTTACAAAGCCTTTTCCACACCTTATATAACTGAGCCCTTGAAATAGCCCTACAGTGTGAATTTTATCATTAGTGCCACAAAGAGAGAGATCAAGGCTATTTGGCTCCCCTCTCAACCATCATGGTTTTATGTCTTCTAGTACTCTTGAAAATCTGTTATCAATCAAGCTTTTGATTTTGGTGGATCACTGCACAGAATACACACAATATATATACTCCAGAAGGGGTTCTGAAAACAGTGGACTACAGGCAGTTCCCCACACCCCTGAGGAATCTGGTAAAAGAGAAAGGGGATGCATATGCTGCTTAGTTGTGTAGCTCCTTATAAGCACTTAAGCAGAAAACTAACTAGAGAAAAATTGTTTGGCTTTCATAACAGGACATTATGCTAACAAGAGCTTGTCATAGCATAAAATACAGGCAGAGTAGGAACTCCTAAACAGAGACATTAAAAAAAATCTTCGAAGCGACGTGTGCTAGCACACACTTGTACTTCTAACATTTTTGAGGCTGAGTTCAAAGCCAGTTTGGCTCTACAGAGACCATAAATTTCAAAAAGGATTCTTTTTTTATAAAACAATCAATATGACACCAAAGGGAAAAGAATATAAAAGCTTGAGATAGACAGTAGTTGACTGAGGAATTACCTGGATAACAGTGCCACTTTGCAGTTAGATGCAACTCGTCAGTTATCCAAGGTCTTCCTCTCTTTGTACTTAGTTCATAATGACAATAATCTTGTAGGGAAAATGCAGTTCAGGTTACCATGTCATTTAGAGATATTCTACTTTTTCAAAGCTATAACATTGCTATTTATTTATTTTTATGGAGCATTGATTGAACCCAAGGCCTTACACATGCTAGGCAATTGCTCTACCACTGGACTATATTCCAAGCCCTGAGATAATTTAGTTGTCTCCTTTAAAAATTATTTCTACTGAGATAAATATTTTTCTATGCACCCTTTCTTTTCTCTACACCCCCTTTTCTGCCCTCTCCCATGCTCACCATTCTCCCAGTTTATTCAGGAGATCTTAACTTTTTCTACTTTGCATGTAGAGTACATCCATGTATGTCTATCTTAGGGTCCTATTTGTTGTCTAAATTCTCTGGGATTGTAAATTGTAGGTTGCTTTTTCTTTGCTTTATGTCTAAAAGCCACTTATGAGTGAGTATATATTACATTTGTCTTTCTGTGTCTGAGTTACCTCACTCAATATGATGTTTTCTACATCCATCCACTTGACTGCAAATTTCAAGATGTCATTTTTTCCCACTGTGTAGTGCTCCATTGTGTAAATGTACCACATTTTTCTTATCCATTCTTTGGACAAGGGGCATTTAGCTTGTTTCCAAGTTCTGGCTATGACAAATAATGCTGCTATGAACATAATTGGGCACATGTCCTTATGGTACTGTTGAGTATTCTTTGGGAATATACCCCAAAATGGTATTGCTGGGTCTTGAGGTGGGTTGTTTCCTAATTTTCTGAGAAATTGCCATACTGACATCCAAAGAGGCTCTGCCAGCTTGCACTCCCACCAGCAATGGAGGAGTGTTCCCTTTACCCCACAACTTCTCCAGCATAAGTTGTCATCACTGTTTTTGATCTTGTCCATTACTGCAGGTGTAAGATGGAATCTCAGAGCTGTTTTGATTTTCTTTCTCTGGTGGCTAAGGATGTTAAGCCTTTCCTTAAGTGTCTTTCAGCCATTTTAGATTCCTCTGTTCTCTGTTTAGGACTTTACCTCATTTTTTATTGGATTATTTGTTCTTTTGATGATCAGTTTCCTGAGTTCTTTGTTTATTTTGGAGATCAGTCCATTGTCTTATGTGGTGTTGGTGAAGATCTTTTTTTCATTCTGTAGACTATCATTTTGTTTTGTTAACCATGTCCTTTGCTCCATAGAAGCTTCTCAGTTTTAGGAGATCCCATTTATTAATTGTTGCTCTCAGTGTCCGTGATACTGAGGTTATATTTAGGAACTGGTCTCCTGTGCCAATGTGTTTGGTGTACTTCCCACTTTTTCTTCTATGAGGTTCAGTGTAGTTGGTTTTACATTGAGGTCTTTAATCCATTTGGACTTGAGTTTTGTACATGGCTATAGATAGGGATCTATTTTCATTCTTCTACATGTTAAAATCTAGTTATGCTAGCACCATTTGTTGACTATGTTTTCTTTTATTCCATTTTATATGGATTTTTGGCTTCTTTTTCAAAAACTATGTGTTCAAAAGTGTATGGATTAATATTTGGATCTTCGATTTGGTTCCATTGGTCCTCCTATCTGTATTTTTGTGAATACCATGTTGTTTTCAGTACTGTAGAGTTTGAAGTCAGAGATTGTGATTTCTCTGGAAGCTCCTTTATTGTACAGGATTGTTTTGAATATCCTGGGTTTTTTTCTTTTCCATATGAAGTAGATTATTGGATTTTTATGTCTGTGAAGAATTTTTCTGGGATTTTGAGGGACATTTCATTGAATCTGTAGATTGCTTTTGGTAAGATTGCCATTTTTTGCTATGTTAATTCTGCCTACCTAAGAGCATGGGAAGTCTTTCCATTTTCTGGCACTTTCTTCAGTGTCTTTCTTTAAAAATTTAAAGTTCTTGTCATACAGGTCTTCCACTCATTTGGTTAGAGGTACTCCAAGATGTTTTGTGCTGTTTGTGGCTACTGTGAAGGGTGATGGTCTCTGATTTCTTTCTCAGCCCATTTATCATCTGTGTAAAGGAGGGCTATGAAGAAGTACCCTAAAATGAAATCCCACACTCGCCCGGAATTGAGTATAATAAAGGGTTATTTATTTAGAGGCAGAGTCACAGATCACAGTCCTCTGTAAGAATGAGGAAACAGGAACCAAATTCAGAAGAGTGAGCTTTACGTCTGCATTTATAGTATAAAAGACCAAACCCAAGTGGGTTGGTAATTTATAAGCTGCTGCCTGAAGGACTTCCTACAGCACCTCCTTCTTTTGTTTAAATAAGAGAGTTCTAAGCCTAATACAAAATTATATACAATATAAACAATATCAACTATAAAAATTAGAATTACAACAGCATAAACAATATCAAGCAAGTAATACATGATGTTTCAATAATTATCCTATCCTAAAAAGTCTAAGTCTTCTATTATAAATGACTTGGCCAAGTATGAGAGGAAAGTAACTATGACTATCTAGTCTTCAACCCCATCAAAGACCTGAGAAGGGAAATAATATTACATGAGTAAGCAAGAAGTACAATCAAGCAACTTCCAAAATGTGCAACAAATGACAGATACAACTCGCTACCTGGGCAATCAATCAAAGTCTCATTTGCAATGTTGGAGCAACCAACTTTAGCTAAGGCCTAGCGCAACTGAAAGACCATTTTCAGAGTCAGAAAATTTTTCAAAACTGTCTTACCCTATCTTGGCAAGATTTGACAGTCTTTTTTCTTGTATCCGGCTTGTCCTATCTGGACATCATGCATTTTGTCAGTGGCCAATGCAAGGTCAGTTCCTTGCCCAAAGGTCAATTTTGCCAAGAAGAAAACAAGTTCCAAGTGGAGTGTTTTCAGTGCTCAACATTCTCTTGGGAAATAGATCAGTGCTGCCAGAAGCAATCATGTCTTATGTCAACAGAACCCTAAGTTATTTAAATGCCACATTTAACAGCTCTTTAAAGAGGTTGAAGATTACCTATCTATTCAGAATACAATCTCTATGTATCTAAAGAACCCGAGTAGTCTAACTATGAGTATGCCAAACATGGATGACTATTAACCTATAATTCTTAATACCTATATTACTTAAAAACTAAGACTTCATATTAGAATATTAAACAATCTTTAAACAACTGTGCAGCAAATGAGGACAATGATCTCAAAATGTAAACAATGTATAAGTATCTTGAACAGAGGTATAAATGTACAGTGCAATATAATAAATATATCCTAAAATTATATCAATATACAAAATGTCTTAAGCAGAAGTAGAAGCATACATAAAATATGACAAAATAACTTTGTCTAGGTGTACAAATATTGTAGACAGAAATAGAAACATATTCAATATAATTTGAATTTGTATCAGCATACAATAATCTATACCAATGTGTATTTTCAGTATATAATAGCTCACAAGTATTTACCCTATTACTCATTATTATTATTAGTGTGAGTAATCTCATGCTAATCTATTATTCCATCCAATTTACCTCCTTTTTTTCAAAGAGATCCTTGAGAATACATAATTTCCACCCCAACCTTCAACCCTATACTAACTAAAATCAACCCCTAATTGATGTTCCTAACCCTGAGGACAAACTTTGTTTGGAGAGGGCACATCATCTTCTAGAACTACTTTCAGTTGTCATGGAGGTAATGTTCTTTGTATGGGATAGTGTGAAAGTAAAATGATGCGTACTGATTTTTTGAGTAAATCTTATATCCTGCTACATTATTGAAGGTGTTTATGATTTGTAGAAGTTCCTTGGTAGAATTTTTGAAGTTATTTATGTAAAAAACCAACCAAACAAAACAAAACACAACAAAACAAAATGCTTTATGATCATCTTTGCGCAGGGGCCATGTTAATCTTCTCTCTATCATTCCAATTTTAGTATATGTGCTGTGGAAGCAAGCACAATAATTTTATTGTTAATAACACAGTCCTCCAAAGATCATCTCTAGGTTTGGTGTAAATGATTATTTTGATAAGCCATCTGTAAAAGTTTTTATAAAGGTTCTTTTATTTTAAATATATGTGTGCTTTGCCTGCACATATGTTCATGCACTGTGTGCGAGCCTGGTGCCCATGAAGAGCATATCAGATGCTCCAGAACTGGAGACATGGCTGGTTGTGTGCCACCATGTGAGTGTTGGGAACTTAAACTGGGTCCTTTGCAAGAGCAACAAGTGCTCCAAATTGCTGGACCATCTCTGCAGTCTAAGCATTAACTTTAGCTTTTAGGGATATGATTGTTGAAGCTACTAGGCAAGCACTGTACCACTTAGCTAGATCCATGACTTCCATAAAATACCTGCAGTTTCTTCTAGATTCATAACACTGAGTCATTAAGACTGTTAGTTACCGGGCAATGGTGGCACACACCTTTATTTTCAGAACTTGGAAGGTAGAGGAAGACAAGTCCCTGTGAGTTTTAGGCCAGCCTGATCTACAGAGCAAGTTCTAGGAGAGTCAGGGCTGTTACACAGAGAAACCCTGTCTAAAAAAAAAAATAGATCAAATATTCCATATTGCAGTTACTGCTTTATACACTCGAGCATTTTAAATGAGTTTATGTATGCCATAAACGTAGGTAATGGTAATCAGTAGATGTGGATAGCCACCCTTATTAAAAAGCTTCTTACCTGCTTTAGCAATCAAATCACTGAATGGCTAGAAGAAAACAGAACAGTGGTACTGACTAGGCTCAGGACACCATTTCTATAGACTCCTGCCTAGCTATTGGCCATTTCGTTTTATAGTACACCAGTCACAGTAGTACATCTTCACACAGTGTACAAATATCCCACAGCACAAGGCCAAGTATGGGCTAATCATATATAATATTTCCAGAGAAAGCGGCCAACCGTAAGCCTCCTCAGACAGCACTGTGACTGCCAGACTTTGTCACTGGTATGCCACCAGAGTATATATGCATGCTGAACAATTTCTCTTACTAAAGTCCTAGCCTTTAGCTCAAATTTAACTGTTACCTTTTGTTTACGTTCTTTCATTTGAAGTGGGTTTGGTTCCTCACATCCTCACTGAGTGGGAGCTTTTTAATTCCAGTGTGAGTAAGGTCAGGATGCCCTTGTGGGTTTTGCTCCTATTTCCCCTTTCTTTCATTCTTGTTCTTTTTCCTATCCTCCCTTTCCCATTTCTCTCCCTTTCTGTTAAATATAATATTTGTTCTTCTTCACATATTTATATTTATACAATGATTTTTTTTTATCTTATTCACCCTCTTCCAAAAATTCCTTCTAGATTTTCCTTTTCCTGTCTCCTCCATATTTTAATGTCCTTTAAAAGCTTGAAAAATATATGGATGTTTTGTCTGCATGGATGCCCATATACCACATGCATGCTTGGTGCCCAAGGACGCCAGACGAGTGCATTGGATCTCCTGGTTCTGGAGTTACAGATAGTTATAAACCACAACATGGGTGCTGGGAAAGGAACTTGAGTCCTCTACAACAGTAGCTCAGGGCGTTTAACTACTGAGCCATCTTTCCAGCCTCTTCTACTGACTTTCTTATTTTATTTCATTTTATTTTAAAAACAAATCAAACTGTCTTTTTTTCATTTTACATACCAATCCCAGTTCCCCCTCCCTCTCCTCCTCCCATGCCCTCCAAATACTCCCTACCCCACCCCCATCTTCTCCTCAGAGAGGGTAAGGCACATTGCTCCCTACTATATTTAGGCTGAGCAAGATATCCCTCCATATAAAATGGGTTCCAAAAAGCCAGTACAAGCAGTAGGGATAAATCCTGGTGCCACTGTCAGTGGCCCCCCAGCCTGCCCCAGCCATACAACTATCACCCACATTCAGAAGGCCTAGTTCAGTTCTTTGTTGGTTCCTTCCCTGTCAGGCTGGAGTTGGAGACCTCCCATTAGCTCAGGGAGACTGTTTCAGTGGGTTTACCCATCAAGGTCTTGATCTCTTTGCTCATATTCTCATTTCTCCCATTCTTCAACTGAACTTTGGGAGCTCAGCCCAGCACTCTGCTGCTGGCCTCTGCCTCTGTTTCTGTCACTCATAAGTGGATACTAGCTGTAAAGCAAAGGACATTGAGCCTACTGACTTTCTTATCACCATCTACTTCATCAGATTCTTTTGAAATTAGTTTGCCATTTTAATGGTTTCCAGCTCATTACAAGATTTGACTTGTTTCAAACTTGAGTGCTCAAATAATCTTTTTACTGGGCACAACTGGTTTTCTTTTGCTGGTGATCTAACCTAGGACCTTGTGCATGCTAGGTGAGCTCTTTCCCACTCAGCTACAATTCTGGTGCCAGAAAATCCCTGGCTACATGTAAGGTAGCAGGTGAGCAATCCCGAAAGCTAGTTCATAGTGGGTCTGGGTTGATTTTTTCTTTAGTCTCTATGAGTCTCAGTGAAGTTGTTCACTTTGGCATCGCCTAGGGAATTGTGAAGCTATGAATCATTTAGCACTTAGCTTTCCTATTGTCTAAAATTAGAATGTCGAATGTGTGTTTATTTAATATAGAATATATCTAAATAAACTATGAAGCTGCGTCAGCCAGTAACTAAGTGCTTCAGATTTGAGGTGAGAATTCAATTTCGGTGACAGGAAGGCATTCAAAGTTGAAAATGTTTGCAAGACAAGGCTGTGTTTGGTTGCCATTAGACTTGGGCAAATAACCAGTTTAGTAAGTGACTCCATTTGGCAAGACCAACCCCCATTATTTACAGCCTTTCTTCTGTAGCTCTCTACCTGTACTATCTTGTTTGTTCAAATCAGTTTCACACCAACCTTGTTATCATATACATCACTGTCTATTTAAAATAAGGAGGCAGGGGAGATGGCTCAGTTGGTAAAGTGCCTGGTGCACAAGGATGACAACCTTGGTTTAAAACACAAGCACCCATATAAAAGCCAGGTGTGACGGTGAATGTCTCTAACTCTGAATCTGGGCAGCCAGGTAAGGGGCAAGGGGCAGAGAAGCAGTGGCAAGAGGAACTCTGAAACTCACTGGACAGACAGTCTAGCCTAGGACAGACAAAGCTGTTCTGTGTCCACACCCTGTCTCCCTGTGACATAGAAAAAAGCACTATTATGATGCAGTACTAGGTCATGATAGCTCTTGGGTTGCTTATATGCCATTTTTAATTCTCTCATGCAGGTATATTTGTGCAGTGAATGTGATGGAGTAAGCTTTATTAGTGGCATGAATTCTTCAAAATCCATAAATTCCTGTATAAAGGAGACATGTTGTGTAGATGTCTGTGCATTGAAAGCTATGAAGTCTTGCCTCAATTGGGAACTGCAATTTCTAAGTAATCAAAACTTCCAGTCTGGCCTGAAGAAACAGAAGGCTGGGTGCAGGTAAGAGTCGACACCGTGTAGACATACTATTTTCTAACACTTTAGCTTAACACACTTGCATGATAGCAAATGTTCAGAATCCCAGTACTTGGGATGCTGATGAAGGGGGTTTCAAGATTTCAAGGCATTAAGTGAGACATCAAAATCAAAACAAAATCTAGAAAAGAAACAAACCAAACAAACTGAAAACCAAACCAAACAGAAACAAAACCTCAAATCCTACAAGAGTAACAATAAAGGAAACAAGGAAACAAAACCAACATCAATGGATAAAGACTGGTTTATAAATATTTTTGCAATCCATGCAACAGTTCCATTTCTTCAGATCTTTAAGAAAGCTTCCAAGGCAGGTGTGGTGATGCATACCTTTAATCACAGTATTCAGGAGGCAGAGGCATGCCACTCTCTGAGTTTGAAGGCTGCCTGGGACACGGAGCTAGTTCCAGCACAGGATTACACAGAGAAATCCTGTTTTGAAAAAAAAAAAACTAAACAAATAAACAAGCAAAGCAACAACAAGAGCAAAACCACCACCAACACCAACAAATCCAGCATCCAGTTGAATGCGACACTTTAGTAGCTCATGAAGAGTTTCATACAAAACAATGTCATTGCTTAAGGGGAAAACTTGAATTTTCATGTCTGTTTTCATTCTACATTTCTTCTTTGGTAGGAGAGTCTGAATAGGGTCTCATATAGGTGAGAATGGTCTCAAACTTGCTAGGTAGAGGCTGGCCTTCAACTTCGGATCCTCATCTCTCTACTGTCCAAGTGTTGGGACTGCAGGCATGTACCACCATCCTCTATAATCCTAGTGTTGCTTTATCTGTAAGTATAAGTGAAGAAAAGCCACATGTGGTCATGTCTGCTTGTAATCCAATTCCTTGTGAGGCTGAGACATGAGCATCATGAATATGATGCTGGACTGGGCTATTTCGAGACATCCTGTCTGAAAACAAGCAAACAAACACAAAGTTACATACACATCAACAACAAACTGAAAAGGTAGCATTTGAACTGAGTTCTTAAATTATGTGAAGAAGAAAATCAGGCTTCCAAGTAATGTAAAAAGTACTCTGCCTTGAGAATGAGAAGTGAGTTTATGCCTGTCACCCCACCATGGAAGCTAAGGCAGGAGGATCATGTTGTTCAGATCTGCTGTTAAAAGGAAAAGAAAGCAACAACCAGGGGTAGGAGTAAACTTTGCAAAAACCTTGCTTTGTCTACTAAGGACAATAAAACCAATATTTGTGAAGTCCAGTGGACAAAAGAGATGAAAGAGAACGAGAACTGCAACTCCCTCCTGTAGACTAATATATATATATCTTGCCTTTGACCCCTACTTTGTCTTTTATTGTTAGTGTTAGCCAAGGGAGGTTTTTAAGCTAAATAAATAAATAAATGCCATTTTCAAAATGGTCACTGTGTTTTGTATTGAGTCAAGGATCACACTCTGTAGCCCAAAGTGGCCTGGGACTCACTATATATCCCAGGGAAGTCTTCAACATGTGGCAATTTTCCTGCCTCAGCCTCCCAAATATAAGATTATTGGTATGTATGCACTGCT